TTGTATTAAAACTATTTGTCTTCCTTTATTTCCTTTTCTTTCTGTCTTTAACACTTTATTTTTTAATCACAATTGTAAATTATTTCATTAGTGCTATTTATCATCTTCTATATGTAATTTGTATATATTTATATGTAGTATATTTTTTTCTGTCACCTCTGTAAAATTGATGTTTGTGAAAGTTTGAATTAAAAATGAATTGAATTGAAGTTTAACTTTTCTCTCTTGTTCCCTCTTTATAAATTCTGTTCTGTCAAAGAAATTTTTATCAAAGTTTCCTATGAAACATAAGAGAAATTCCGTGCCCCCCAAATTAATCCAAAGATTTTTCTTGTTTATTTGAAATACATGATATTCTTTTTTTCCTCCAAACCTTTGGAAGAACTTCGTTAAGTATTTTCTCGTGAAAAGTAGATGAGCAAAGTATCAAATTCACCTGATTCAAAGAGTTAACGTCAGAAAGTATTCGAAAGAATACACTCACCCACTGTAAAACACGACTGTTTGGCTTCCTCAATCTCGAGTTCAGTTAAAACTCTGTCATAAAGCTGTACGCACGAAATTCTCCCCTTATATTTTTCAGCTTGCTCTGGTACGGCTCCCATAATGACACTTTGTTGAGTTGCCAGCTCAGAAGGGGAATCAATGACTTTTTTGTTGTAAACACTCCCATTGATCCATAAAATGCACTCTCCATTGACGTAGTTGTAAGACGCGCCAACAAAATGCCACGTTTTAGGTTCAAGAATACCACTAGTTAGAGTTTTCAAATGAGAAAAGTTCGAGCTTCGTAAAATTGCGCGGAAACGGCCATCTTCAGTGAGTATAAATCGAATGCCGTTTTCTGCCGGACCATCATAACAGAAGATCGGACCTTCACTTGTTTGTTCGTGGTATATCCAAGCTAAGAGCGTCATTGAGTATCTGGTGTCAAGACCTCCTTTGTTTGGGAAATGAAGGAAGCTGCCTAAATTTCCGGAATACTGGTACGAGCCTCCCATACTACCGTCGGGGCCTGGCGCTAGTTCAACACCAGACGCATTCCCTTGGAGACTGTGGCTGTGGCTGATGTCTGTTGTTTCGTATTGTCCATTCAGAGGAAAAAATGCCACAGGATTCAGTGGAACTGAAAAAGCATTTGCGCTGGTTAGTATAATGTTCATCTGTACGCTAGTTGTTAATTTGATCAATTAGTGACAGAATTTATCTCTCGTCAGTGAGTAGTCCATCACCTTTTACAGCAAAGTATGCGTTTTTTAGATTTCCCTTTAATTCACCAGAACTATGAAATATTCCCGGACAGAGAGACGCTCCGCGAGGGAGACCGAATTTCCCCCTAAAACTAGTACTATGCACAGCAACCCAAAGCAGGGCTCGTCTCTGTGACTTAACCTCTGTTAAATTCTCACTGATTTTTAGTAGCCACCTATCTAAAAACGAACACAGGTTTCTGTTGAACTACTCATACGTCATCGGTAAATGTTAAGCACTTAATGACTGGCCCCAAGAGAAAATGTGTGTTTTGTTTCCCCGAGGCACTCAATGTTCCCCTCGGGGAACATTGAGGTCGAGGGAAAACAAAACTCACTGTTTCACGAGGGAGCAGTTATTAAGTGTTTTGTTATACCGCCTAACTCAAAAATAAAAAAAAATAAAAATAAAAATAAAAAAACTGCGAAGAAATCGTTTGCGTGACGCCGGCTGGTTCACAAATGTGCAGCGGTTTCAAGGAGCACGATCTGATCATGTGCGAGTCGAAAGGTCAAGTTTCTGTTTCCGTAGGGAGTTAGTGAGTTTTGACCCACGACGCGTGACACGAATTTCCTCAATCGGAAAACGAATTTGAGTTAAGAGGTATAATAAAGAGGTTTATTCACTTCCAATGTCAGACCTCTTTCGAGTAGTGGAAAATTGAACGCCAAGAATGACGTCTGTTTAACTGGCTATAAATGATTTCAAACAAACCTTTTTTAAAACAGAGTCCTTTGACAGCGTGTACTTCTCTCTCCGTCAAAGCCTTGTTGTACACTTGCATACAAGATATTCTTCCTTTGAGAAATCTATTATCTCCAGTCACCACGCCCATTCTGACAGCCCCAGAAGTGTTCAGTTCATTTGTACCTATATTCATATTCTGCTCTTCATACACTTTGCCTTCGATCCAAAGCCTTGCAAAGCCGGTAACAAAATCATAGGACGCACCAACAAAATTCCACGTATCTCGATTTAAACTGCCGCCATGCAGCATCCTGATGTCGCTTCCCGATCTTCCAAATTGGCAAAACAAATAACCTCCGACAATCCAGAGATGGACGCCATAGTAATCAACTCCATAGTGAAAGATGGGACCATCAGTATTCTCCAGAAAAACCCAGGCTAAAAGAGTTATGGAGTACCTTATGTCCAATCCCCCGTTGTTTGGGAACTCAATATAGCTAGCGGAGCTTCCGGAGAACTGGTACGAGCCATTTGGTTGACCAAAGGGGCCTGGGGCGAGCTGTACGTTATAGGGGACGCCTAGAGGATTTTGATTGGAACTCAGGTCTCGTGTGCCAAA